ATAGTTTCAACTTGTCGAAGCGCTGTGGCAAGGGCCTTGCTTTTTGGTGGAAATGAGCAGGCTTCATTGACATCGCCAAAGTTACTCGTACCATGCGGTGATCGCTACCGACATTGCATCCAGAAAGCGTTGTCACATCGCGGACAAACTTCAAGTTGGGACATAGTACGTGGTCTCTCTCGGGTGGTTCCGTTTGGGCTCCTCCATGTCCATGCCTCTATCGTTTCTTCTGCCAGTAGCATGAGGTCCACATTCAGGCTCATGGTTGAGAGAGCGTCCTTCGCTGATGTAACGGATACCGGCGAGCTTTTTGTTCATCCATGTGGACATATAAATCCCACTCCAGCGTATGTGGGGGTATCGTCGCAACGTCCACTATTGTATAATACAAAACCTGATCCAAGTTGAAGACACTCACGATTCGGGCGTCGGGTCTCGGATAATCCAATCAGAGTGAACTTCACGTTTTACGTTGGCTTCAAAATCCGCGAGTCGTTGTTGAGAACAAAGGCCGCGGACGTTGACGGCGGCTATCTTCAGGAAGGTCCGAGCACGGGAGCTACTTCAGCTTGGTTTGACGGCGAAATCATCAGTGGAAGGAAGCCAACCGTCCGAGGGGGAAGCAGACGAATAGTATGAGAGATTGTCATACGATCCGAAAACTTCCACCACCTTGGGGTAGACATCTTTCAACACTATGTGAGTAATGAATGAAGGTTTTGCCCATCGCGATCTCCAGCATGATTGCCACATCAACGCCACTTCATATGAAAGCATTTTTCCACTATACTCATCTTTGTGCGGCTTCGGATTCGTTTTCCAGTCATGTCATTTGGAGAATAAAGTCATTTTAAGGCAAAATCATCCGTTGGAATGCACTTTTGTTGTGTATGCTTTTCAAATCAAAGAAAGAAGAAGACAACAGCCAGAAAATGTTCTCCATGGAATCTTTCGCAAATGGTTCCATCAGTTCAGAATCATTACGTCACGACATTATCAGGGACAAGAGTTATGCAAAATAGCTTTGAAGTGCACAGGGACCACTTTCGAAAAAATGCAAAAGAGCACACGCATCAAGGATTCAAACCCTCGACCACGCATCCATGACCCTATAACGTATCCACTCGGCCATGCTTCTACGATTGCATCGGCCTTACGCCGCCAATTCGTAGTGAATGCGAATATTCTCCCCCTAAAAGCTCCGTAACTTCTTTCTGGGAGGTCCGCAGCAGATATGGAAAACGGTTTCGTAATTCCCGTCCGAAGACCTTTCAGCCGGTATACATTTCATTTCAAATGGCCACTTCGACCTACCATCCTTCCCTTGTAAGCAACGAACAGTTTTCAAGCTCACAGCGGAATAGAAATTCAATGCACCGCTCAACCTACCGCAGCCTATTCGTGGCAAGGACTGAATTCTGAAAGGCGCATCGAGTAGCTGAAAATGGGAATCAACGGTAGGATAGTGGTACGTGTCGTATGTCTCACAGCCCACACAGTGGTATCATAAACGTCAGAACACCACTACTCCTCGTCATGGACTCATTACGGTTACTCACTTCGCGCGCGGATGAGGAATGTTTCAGGGCCTTTTGAGTAGAGATATCATTTCATACGATAAGATTTTGCAGGTAGCATCGAGATCGTTGTCGCAACGCCCTTCTACCCACTCGCCGCTTATCGAGTAGTGTGACAGATCTCTACACCTTTACCTGCGAGTGCTCATTAAGCATTTCACCACCCTCACCCATATAGAGTTCTTCACAGGTGGCGGCCTGAAGTTATGTACAAGCGAATCTAGCTAGAGACGTCGTCCTCTTAAGTACACCACGGAAAGTTCAAAATTGCTAGTTGGTCTGCAACAGATTCGGCGAGCGTACCCACACCATAGAAAACAGACCATTTTGTCCATATGGAAAAGTGGAATCGTGAGCGGCACTGAGTAGTGAACCGAATCCTGAGGCGGTATTGATGACCAGATCCTGCCCTCTGAAGACGGAAGGATCCATCCAATTCCTGGAGAACTGTTAAGGCCAAAGCCAACTGCTATGAAGTTTGAAATATTTTTAATATTGTCATATTTGTAAAAATTAGTATTCGCAGGTAATTTTACCGCATCTGTAGAAATCACTTATTTGAACAGAGCAGGCCTTATTTACCAGTCTGCATCCATTTTTTAGTAGAATCCAATATAACACCCACACCCTGTGGCTGGAACCTTTTCCTGCTGACAGGTTAGTGCCAAAACGTGCAAAACGCAAAAAAAGCTCTTCTGCTGCTCACGAGAGAATTATGTACTGCGTTGTGTACAGGGTCTATGATGCTCCGAAAATCGAAAATTGTTCAGTGCGCCTCGTTTTTATCACATTGTTTGATGAGAAACAGCCTGGAGCGCTCACGCGTGCAATTCATTTTCCAGCATTGGGACATCAGAAACATTTCTGTGCCAAACCCAGCATTGGAGTTCACACTGAAACGCATCGAATATAATCACGAAAGGAGTCTATTGGAGAACTACACCGAACAATAACGTTCCACCTCTGCGACAGCACTGGAAACAGCAAGATGCACCTGGAGGGGATGCATCTTCAAGTCCCGAAGTGCCTTCATGTAACCAAGTGGTAGACTAGGAGACAATATGGAATGATTAGCTCGGATCACTTAGATCTCTGAACTCGGCTGCCATGCACTGCCAGTGGTGAAGGGCTAATTATCGATTCAGGAAGAAGAAAACGAGTGGTGGCAAGGCGCAAGTAGGGTCAGTTCATCACTCTAGTAAGCGACCCAACTGATTGCGATGATACCATTGCACTTCGTCTGACCCATTCTCTTTTGCTTATATCAACTATTAGCTTCAATAATAAACTTATTCGATGGCCAGTCTTTAGTAGTAGAGCTCAAAAATCAAAAATGGGAGAGGTGTTGGTCAGTGAATCGGTAGAAAAAAAAGCGAAAAAAGCAAAAAAGGAACGCTGAAAACGCAGAACAAGGCCCCCGTGACTGGACGAACTCTTGTGTTTTCCCTGTTCGCAATCTTTCAGCCCTACCCTCCATCCATCCATGGATCATTGGTGATGTTGTGGCGGTTTTGTAGATTGAGAGACAAGGCGAATTGTACAACCGTTTATCTTGATATATACACAAGCATGCCCAAGTATAGGGTTTGAGGCTACGCTCACGCCTCGAAGAGCAGGAGGTGGGGCGTAGTGTGAGAGAGTCATCGCCATCGTGTCGATGACAGGTGAATTGAAGCGGAGTAAAACGCATCTCACCTTGTGGGACGGATTCCTATCTAATGCACGTGACCCCTCTCACAAAAGCAATCGAGGTAGAATGCCTTACATTACGCATAGGAAGGTGAGTTGGAAGGGCGGCGGATATTACAGGTTGGTCCCACACAGATCAAATGACGCCTGTATTTACACACCCAACGACCACATCGGCATCGGGCGAGGCGACCTTAGGGTACTGTATCCCCATCACTTGTGGCGGCTGCAGCGCCGTCACCGCTCACTGTTACTCGCTTTACGGGATTCACTCAACTTCAATATTTTTGACGATATGTAAGGTGGTGTAGTGACAATTGCCGCGCTTACCACCGCGCGGCTCTGGGTTCAAATCCTGGGTCGACTCCCGCCCAGGCCAACCAGGCCTTTTTATATACCTCCTCACACATTTGAGAGAAGTCCTCCTTTTTGCCTGTTCACTTTACCCATGTTTGAGGCACAAATATGAATTTACAAAAAAGCAACTTTATTATTATTTCACAAAACAACAGAAACCACATACGATCGAGGGGGGTCATGGGTCACCTCGTCGGAGAACTTTCACGGGGAAATGGTACAGGGGGCCATTCATAATAATACTGAAAGTCTATTGAAAAAAAAATACTCTACACGATCTCTTTCTGAAGCTATCATGAACCAGCAACATGAACCTCAAAATTTTCTATTCTCTGGAGTATAAGGCGTACCCTGCACCCATGCGCACCTTCGCTTCGGACGCGGCGCATGTTCCTTCTTCATTTTACATTTGCGTGTTTTCTATTCGTTCCTCCACGTTAATCATCTATATTCAAGAGGTATTCAAAGCCAACTGGAAACTCAACTTCGCAAAAAAGCCAAAAAAGTTTTTACTGCCTAGCAACTTTTCGTTGTCGTTGTCGCGTGCGTCGCTGTGCCCTTGCAAGTAGGTGAGCCTTACAACCAAGAAAATAGGATATTATTCGTCACTGGATATTGTTTACAAACAACAGTGAGGCAAAAGGTTCGGCATACTCTTCAATAAATGATCAATACCAATCAAATAGTTGAAAGAAAACTATGCTACCTATAGGTTTTTAAACTATTCTTTTTGGCATACCATAAGATTGACTATTCTGTCAGCCAACTTGTCACCCAAGCGCATATGTTGAATAGACGCTCGGGCGCGATTGCGCAGTTCGTTTAGGGGAGAGGGATGTAAGAGGCCTCTTGGGCAAAACTGGTGGCATATGATAAATAAGATGAGGATTTCTGCTTAAAAATAGCCTTTTGTGTAAAAGCCTAGGAAAGGAAACAACGCTGAGGTGCGTGAACCAAGTTCCTCACGTAGAAAAGGATTTCCCTCTTCAGTAATTCCAGCTTTGCGCATGGAGTCCTTCATGAATGTCTCACCCCAAGACGAACAGCGCCAGCGCTCAACAGTGCATATAAAAGTAACACATAAAAAATAGGGGGACGGAGAAGACAATCGTAATTTGTTGCGCCGTCGCGCGCGGCGCATCGTGCAGCCGCGCGAGGCAACTTCCTGTGTATCATGTTGTCGATTGATACAACAAAATTCATGTGTATCCAAGCGGATACAAGAATTCATGCCAAGTGATAACGATTTTCCCATACCTCTACCATTAAAGTTCGAACGGTTGGCGGGTCAACTCGCCCCTCGCCTGCGCGGCGTCGTCCGCCGCGACCAGCGCGACTTATTACGATTGTCTTGCCACGTACCCAAAAAACATGCACACACACCTAAACACATACACGCACTCAAAACGCATCTACCAACAACAAAATCTCACACCCACCCGCGATTATTAGCTCATCAAAACAACATATGAGAACCACATAAGAGAACAATGATGCAAAAGAAAAAGAAATATATGTACTCTCACACAAAATTGACATACGCTTTACAGACTCGTAATAGGTAAAGATCGGATACTGAGATGAATAACACCTGTCTTACAAACAGACACACAGCCTCATAAAACTCATAAATAATGCAAATCCATGATAAAATAACAACCATGACACATGGATAAGATTCACAGAAACAGCTCATCTAACCGGGTCTTCCATCGACGAGGTAGGGACATGAATCCGAATGCACGTTTCACACTTCAAACCTGGCGTTTTATCTTTGAAGATTTCATGCCAAATGGATGGAACCTATGACGCTTCTTAGGTGGTAGACGGTACGGTTGAGCCTGACGTAAAGCATCAATCTCCGAAAATGGTTCCATTGTAGGTGGCTGGAAATGCTATGATACATAATGTTGAATACTAGTCAGAACTAAGAAAGATCACCATGAAACCACAGTTCAAATGAATTTGTCTCATTTCCATAAACTCGACATTTAGTTACTCTCGAGGATGTGGGAAGTCAGTGCCTTTGGGCCGCAAAACCACACATGAAGAGAACCCTGGGCACAGTTTAGCGACGAGGGAGAGGGGAGGGAGGTATCCTTCTTTCACGACTACTCTTTCCCATCAGTCTGCCACCCTCCTATCTCCCCATACTCTCACAGCTGTTTGCTACCCTTCTATCGCAACATACCCTCCTCTCCCGGACGCTGGTAGAGCTAGACCGATACCTGTACTTCCCAGGCTCTCGAGACGCTGGGAGATGCTGGTGCACGCCGTAGACGCTGGCAGACGCTAGATCGATATCTATACTTTCCAGTCGCTGACGCTGCCGGACGCTCGGAACGCTAGTGGACGCTGGTAGACGCTGGTGGACGCTGCCGCAAAGTATGAACGCAGCCTTATGTTCTGCTCTGAGCGAAAGATCCTGCAGTAACACGCTGACACGTTGCGGAACTCGAGCTGTGGAAAACCATAGTGCCCAATCAAACGTAAGACAGCACAAACAGGTAGTGCGTGTTTCATGATTCGGCGTATGGCTGGCCGTGCGGCGCATTGCATACTTATGGTCTGATGCTCGCGGGCGGAGAAGTGAAAAGCATCGAGGTGCTACCACCCTCCAGCTCCATTTTCGTGACTACCTAACAACGAAAATGATATTCATCTTAAGCTAGAAAGAATAACCCCCTCACAATTTGATGCAGGGAAAAATCATGACCTGTGGTGAAAGTTCATAATGCAGAGAAATCAAATGATTCCAGCTAAGCATGCATACCTTCACTTCATCAATAACAACAGTAGCGATTTCGTTAACTTCTTGACCCAACTGATTTTCATAATGTTCAACGTCATGTTCAGTTGCACCAGCACCATAACTAATCGTCACAATGTTGACCACTCCGTCCGCCGGTGAAAGGACCCCATTATTTTCGGGGTAGTCAGGGTGGTACTGCAAAAGCAACCCTTTGTTTGACTTATAGTTTGAAATATATGATAGCATAACTAGATAGTTTGAAATATATGATAGCATAACTCACAATCTCATTCGATCCCATGACCTCGGGGTCAATATCATACTTCTGGGCTTCACCAAAAAAGGGGCTCTTCCCATCCTCAAACAATGGCTCAGAATTACGTGAAGCACAACATGCACTTCCAAGATAGTCCTCAAGCCTGAAGTAGGCAGCTCTTAGAAGTAGAGCTTTCTGGGTTCACAAACTCTTGTAAAACTTACACTTGATTTGTAAGTGGATAGGCGCTGCCCACGACGGGAGGATCATCATAAGAGAAAATGAAATGTGATGCCTGTAGGGCTTGCAGAAGCTCCTCGCTTTTCTGAAGGCGAATCTGAATGGTGTCAAGTTAGTATCGACTTAAGACCGGTTAGCAATTGAGCACAGAAAAGAGCTCTTCTGAGCTCCCCTTCTTCTTTCTTCTTGCGCTTAGGGACGGAATTAAAGACAGAGATTCCACGATTACAATTCGTGCATTACACAGTCAAGTTCGGAATTTAACCACCAGTGAGTTAACAAAGTCTTACCACTGAAACAGTGAACAAAACCGTCCAAGACGGCTTCCGATTGGACGAGCATTCGAAGAAACGGAACACTGTTGCGTGAGAGAGAGACTAGAGACAACGGAAGAGAGGTAGAGAAGAGCTGGGAGGTGTGCGAGACCACAAAGACCGGTCGTACACGGAATTGATTGGAACGAGTTACGCCTGTACTTGAAGATATAGGACTGGTGCATAACTCGTACCAGATGGGTGAAACAAACTCTACGGTTGGCATTCCTTGGACTTGTAAACCGTGAAGCCCTCGCCAGTCACTGTGAAACCGCGGTAAGAGACCTCTGACACTGGGGATCGGAGTGCTTGTAGAATGAAGGGAATCTACGAACCAGGAAAAAGCGTGGGTCTTCAAATGGCCATTGAACAGAAAAGCAATAACACATTGATTTCACGGCAATCAGTTGTTCTTTAGGAACATGAAAAAGAACAAATAGCACTATTTACCCTTTCTCCACTCCTCAAAATTCAGCCTAGATTTCGATCGATACTCCCATGGATTTGATAGTTTTGGCCAAGACTTTGTCCCCAGGCATAGTCTAACTCCGTGAACAGAATGTCACATTTGCTTAGAACGAAACTGCCTGATGCGAAGACCGTTCAGACACTTCTGGAGCAGGCCCGTACAGCAAGAGTTTTCACATCAAATTACTGTGATATTCGCGTTGACAGTGTAAAAATCTTTGGGATAAGTTTACAACATCGATGGTGCTTTGAGGCCTTTCGGCCCATAGCACGGACATCAAGCCGTTTTAAGCCAAATGAAGGCGGTATTCGTTTCAGGGGAGTGAGCTACCCTGGGCACAGAAATCTAGTTAGATCCACCCATGGGAAAAAATTCCCATCAAAATCTAGGCGGAACCTCGAGGACAGAGGCAACAGAGCCTAAGAAGTCCTGATTCAGGTTAACATGAGTTAAACGAAGTTTATGAACCTGATCTTCCTTCTTCATTTCTTTCGACAGTTTCGCTTGCTTCGCCTGCTTGCACATGATTCTTTTTATCTCTTCGTTACTGATATGCTGACAGAAAGTCGGGCCCTCTTCCTTGACCAGTTCTTCATAAACTTTCTTCGTGAGAAAACTAGAAGGAAAAAGAATCAGATCACGAGAATCTACCAGTAATCATATTTCCATGAAAAACGGTCAGCGAACTCTGCTTGATGAAAGGAATAAACCACTACTTAGGCAGTACTGATTGCGCTCCTCACCTTTCCCAGAATCCCATCTTTCCAACATAACGTAGGGCCGTCACAACTGCTCTCACATATTTCGGGTCAGATCTGCGGCAATCGAATCTAAATCAGGAACGATCAACAGTTCAGTGAACAGGATACCAGTTGCGACGTTGTATTGTTAGGGCTGGCCACGAACGTCTGTCTTGTTTGGAAAATTCATCTCTTCGGGTTTCTTATTTTTGAGAACACGTTACCAGTATGAAAGCCTGGTCTTACCTCTCACGCAGCGTTCAGTACTTCGCGTATTTGACGCCTCTTACACGCGCATGCCGTGAACAGCGGCTCCAGTTCTGAAGACTGCGAATGCACGCGATGGAAATCGCCTGGCGCGCTTGCGTGTCTCGAGAGAATATGAGCAACTGAAGGTACGCTTGCCGCCGAACCACCGCCAAGTCCGAGTCTGGTATGGCATGGCCGCTACGGCGCGGCGCCCTATCGACTCCTGTCTGCAGCTGCGTTCGCTTCTACAGGATTGGAACGTTGTTGCAACTATAGCGCGTTACAGCGCATCGACGCGCGTCATCGCGAATTCTGAATGTCGCACTCACAGGAGAAAAGAATTGGTATTTAGTTAGAAAATAAGTTTTATGTTGCAAAAAGTCATGCGTTGCAAAAACTAACCTGATGTGAAAAGCCATGTCGAACAAGTCAACTTGGGTGTAATCCACAGTGCTCTGAGTCTTGTCATTCACCCAGAAGACAGTCACCTACAAAAGCGTGTCGACTACAAATAAAATACCAGAGTAATCGGGCAGTTCTAGAAAGGCTGCAACCACCTACCTTCACGGGGACCGTATCCGTGATTTCGTACACTGTTGCTGGCCAATGCTCGTTCTTACGCCATCTTACCCAAACAACATCACCCACCTAGTATTTCTTTCCAATTAGTTGGATTCGGACCCTGAATGCAACAAAACTCGTGATCCGAGTAAAAGACAGTCCCGCGATCGATGACCGGCGAAATGCCTCCACTCACTTGGCATTCGAGTCCGCACTCGCACAGAGTTTACCAATTTCGTCTCTCGAAACGGTGAGGTAAAGAGATCACAGTCAGTGATCATTGTACCCTCTATTCTTTTCGCTCTACAAGAACAACGAATTACACGCAGAATCACACGTGTGCATTGTTGCCTGTAGCGTCGTAGGAGAACTCCACACACTCGACAGAGAGAATTCTTGCTTGTCGACTCTTTTGCGAGCTCCGAAGTTGATCTTCTTTCGCTGGATACCTTTTCGGAAACAATGTTACAGTGGCAGTCCACTTGGCAATGCAATACTTTTGGGCTCTGCTCAAATTCAGCCTGCGATGCAACCGATTTGGTGCAGAAGTTCGCATTGCGCTGCATACCGTAGTACTGACTTAATGGGCAGCGTTTTTGAAAGCTATTTTCAATTGCATTTGTTTTATCGTTTTTCTTTTCCTGATTTTGGATGTCATTTGAAACTAGAAGACGCGAAGAAACGATTAGCTAATGGTTTCAGCGAGGCCGCAGGATGTCAAGTCGCCAGGAGGCCCGGAGAACTCGTAAATGAGGCTGTATGATTATCAGATAGGGGTTTTGTATGTGCTTAATGTTTTTTTTTGCTTCTTTCTCAAGATTACTTTTTTCGGCTGCTGGTTCATAACTGAACGCCGACTACTTTTAATGCTTGATCGCGGGAATTGTCCTTAAATTCAGTACTCGCGACCAAAAGCAACAGGGCTCACTCATGAACCAGTAGCCAAAAAAACTCATCAGTAGAGAAAGAAACGAAAAAAAAGGCTGGGAACACCCTGAGCACAGCCCAACCCTCCCCCCCCCCCTAGCAGTGAAACCGGCGCCTTGCACGAGTTCATGATGAGGACAAGCCCAATCAGCAGGGTTCTACAATGCAGTAGTGCAACCAATTCCCGGCAAGAGCATAGAAAATCGAACTGCGATGCTCCAGGCAACGCTATGTACACACGCAATTCCGCCTGTAAGCCGTTGTCTTGTAGTATGCGGTTGCACAGATGCAAAACTCTCGCGTTTCTAGCTTCGTTATGTCGCAATTTCAAGTGACAGGAGTGGTATGTTCTCTGCGAGTGTGGACAACGGCCACGGCAACGGACAAATGCTCGGAGGCATTTCACTGATCATTTGATCGCGGAAAGTGTCTAAAAGTAAGTCAGAACACCTTCCAAAGAATGAAACTGCTACCTTCACTGGGAGTTTGATTGCAACTTCGAAACGGCCGCGGAGCAGAGCGAATGCTTTTTCACCCTTCTCTACGACCACAACATCACTAGTCGAACGAGGAGGATAACGAACAAACTGAGGCGCCATGGCTACCTCTCCATCAGGAATGAAGTACGGATTGGTTCGAAATTTTTTGTAAGCCTCTGACCACATTTTGAATCTGAAAATAACTCCTCTTATTTCTTCTATAAATCAGCGTAGCGAAAACTCACCTATACTCGAGGGACCCTTCGGTTGGACGCGAAACAGTTCTTTCCAGTGAAAGACGAGAAATGTCCGACTCTGAGCGCATGCTTTCATCGCTAATTTCGGGCTCAACTTCGTGCTCGTCTTCCTGCTCAGCTTCCACTTCCTCGTACACGCGTGCGTCTACTCTCTCAGTTTCATGATCAGGCTCAACTACTCACTAGCACGATTCCCGGCATTGCCAGTCATCTTTGGCAATCAGTATGCTGGTGATTGTGCTGCACAGTGGATACGCTTCATTTCCAGCAAGAACATCCCTTCTATGGCGAGAACTCTCTCCCCCTCATCAATATAGTGAGGCCCATCTCTGCCCATCTTCGGCGTCATCAGCTCAAACAATGCATCGCCCTGAATTCTTGCGTCGACCGAGAAATTCACTCTTGCTACCCTTAATCATCGCTACTTAACGGCGTCTTTTCCGTAGCAGTACGTTCTTCTTTCTCCCGATCGTGTGTCGGAACATTGCAAATGGCTGCCACCAAGTCCCTTCACTGAAAACTCATCAACGCTAGGAACTCGACTTTCTTCAGTAGCATCCGAATCACCAGTCGTATTGTAAGTCACACGAGATGCAATGTCGTCAGATGAGATCTGAACGACATTCTTAATAAAAAAAAACGAATTTTCTCGCTACAAAAGAAGATCAACTTCGCGTCGGTAATGTGACCTTAGGGCCAGGCGGCGTCGCGCGAAACTCGCAAACACCGTATTTTTACGATTGGCGCGCTCGCGATGGTTCTATCGCGACAGTGACATTTTGCTTTTTGTCAACAGCACAGTCCTCCTGTACCTCAACAATATGATAGTAAGTACAGCCTCAAAAAGCACGGTGTCCAGAGGGCTAGTAAACAGTGAAATGATTGGCGAGTCAAGCTAATAGAGGTAAAGCGAGGCCCGCGAGCAGATCTTATACTAAGGTTTCCCCTGACGCTATACATCCGTATCGAATGCACTTTAAATTATGGCGAATGTAGAATCTAACGGTTATGACAAGCCACGTCTTACCAGATCGCGGCTGAAAAGTGAACCGAACACGATCTAGTTCAATAGCGCAGATTTTATCGCGATCGTGCGCTAAATTGCAAGCACGAGTGCTTGCTGACAGCCGCCGCGCGGGCCGCCGCCCCCGCCGGGCCGCGACGTCGCGTAGTTCTAAATACCCCCACCCTTCAGCCATCCCATGTGCCAAAAATAAAACAGAAGCAAAAATAACTTTGACTTAATCTAGACAAATACCTGGTCATCAGCTGTTTAAGCGCTCACCAGTCCGGCGCCCAGCTCGTGGTCTGATCTTCTTCGGCTGGAAAACATGTTATGTACACATAGCACGCTATTACTACAGAAATATTACTAACACGGCTCGCTCTCGTTTCTCCTCGCGGCGAGGAAAACTTCTGATCTGCTGATGGGCGTCCAACTGCCGTTGATGTGACTAAGATTGGTTCTCGTCGACAGCCTTATCTCCACATGCGGTGAGGCGTAGAAGGCCGATGCTAGCCGTTTGGCGTTCGCTTTCTGGGCTAAATTACTTTTTTACGTCAAATTCAAAATGACTGCAATCACATGCAGACATGATTCCAAGAAACCATAAGACGTGCGATGCCGCAAGGATTGGAGCGCTTTCAAAGGCAGAGTGGGTATGTAGGACCACGCGGCGTCGCGCGCGACAATCGCGGATACCGGATGGTTACAATCGGCGCGCGCTCGCGGTGGTTCACAGTGACATTTCCTGTTTTTCAACAGGACAGTCCATCGTACCTCAACAACACAATACAATAAGCACCTTCTGTGAGTATGGTCCAGAGAGCAGCAACAGTCAAATGATTGGGGATCAGCAGGTAAGCTGAATTAACTTGCGAGGCAGCTATTAATTAGGCAGTTTTCCCTGCACTATGATGTAATCGCCCTAGTTATGCAAATAAAACAAAATTCAACGGTCATGACAATTCAGGTCTTTACCAGAGTGAGGAGACGCGCTGGCTGAAAACGAAGGGTTCGAGACTTCTAATTCAATAAGCAATAAGTTTGTCGGCGAGCGTGCGAATCGCAGTACAAAGCAAGAGGTGTTGCGGCCAGATTGTCCGCCGCGCACCGACGCGGTGTGCTAAAGACGCGTCCTAGTGGCGTTTCCATCAGTCGATGTAGACCTGGCATGCCTACATACTATTAGACTAGAGCTGTCTCATGTGCGCATCCAACTCACGCCCGCACCAAAGCGCGTCTAGCATTTGCAGGAATTCAGTGACTAAGTGGATGGCGGATCTGGAATGCGATATCTATTCACAGACGTTCCACCAAGGGGTAATCGTCGTTCTGTTTTTGATGTAAAGCTGAACTTGACCGGTGACAATATCGACGTCAGAAGAAAATACGGCTCTACTTAACAGCTAAACAAAGTCCGCATCCCACAAATGCTCATCCTTCTTCGATTCCCTTCGATCGCGTGTAAAAGTAATTCGTAATCGCCAGTAACAACCTATGCAACGGTCACCCGAACCGCATGGGTGGATCCACCGGATGCTGGGGCGGCGTTTCCGTAAAGACAAATGTACATTCACACCGTGGATCCTCTTCCTTGCTATGTATGGGGAGTATGTGTCCGCAGATGTAGCAGCGTGCCTTTTACTCCGGTTGAGAGTGCACGGAAACAGGGGTAGAAAACTGGTGATGCCGGAAGACTAAGTCCCCATACTCCACCAAGAGCTTGCGGCAGGTCACGAGGGCGCCCTGGCTATAGCAAAGGCACAACTTGTCTGCGCTCTTCAGATTCAGCTTCTAATGTTTCTCTACTGCTGAGTTACCTTTCGCTGCAGGATCTTCGGTAGTCAATGTAGAGTGCTGCACGTGACGATTGCGCGGCGCGAAAATATAGAGTACGGGCATACTCTACACCCTACAGGCTCCGGTGTCCCGGCTTAACATTGTGAAGCGGGGAAAATTCGCATGCTACTGCTTGGCAGACACTTCACGATCCGCATATGGGAGCGACCCTCCCTCGGAGTGTAGCCCAGCTGTCTTTAACACAACGTGCTAACACGCGTATTCATGAGAAGTGAGACGGGAGAAAGCATATGGAAAGTAGTCCGTCATGCCCAAGAAGAGTCGGTGGCGCTTTCTCGTGACGGACGACGAACTTTGTAATCACTTGCCCTTGTAGAGGGAGGTGCGGAATT